ATTAATACAGCATGTATTACACACCACAAATGATTTTATAATAGGATTTTAATAATTTATTGATAATGCTGATTGTTTTATTGTGACTGTGTACTCTTGTAACCTGCCCTGAGCCTTGCCTTGCAGGGAAGGATGGGCTAGAAATTTAAATAAATAAATACATTAAATAAAATCAAAGACATGAGAGAAAAAATACACACCTATTACTGCCAAGGGACCCCTGAGCCAGGATCCCTTGAAGGTGTGAAAATCAATGAAGACAAAACCAGAATGCTGAAGTGTAAGTCCTCACATCCCAGAGTAGTTTATCCACCAGCTCCTTGTCTACCCAGACAGCTGGAGATGAAGGAACAAAGCCTTCAGCCCTCCTGGGACTATGATCAAGAAAGTCACCCCTGCAAGGTAGGATGCTTTCAAAGGAAGTTTCACAAAACAATTAATCTGGTAACTGTAGCCAATGAAGGCCAAAGTACTACTAGATTCAGAATGAAGCCTGTTGAATTCAAAAAACCACAAAATGTAAGTAAAGTGTTTTAGTATAAAATTGTGCAGGAATAGTTAATAAAAGAGCAGTGAACAATGAGGGTAAACATAATAAAACTATAAGCAAAAACTGAGCACATTTACAAGCATTCTTTCTATATCCAGATGTTACCTGGAAGACTGAGTCCAATAGGGGTCCAAAGTCCAAGACAAGGTTTCTGGTCAATATGGCCCACAAAACAAGTGGCCCAGAGTCAGATATAATCCAGACACAGGGCAAAATTAGAATGAAAGATCTTTCCTATATGAACAATGACCAACCTCTGTTGGCCTGATTCTAGTTAATCAATCAAATGTATAGCACATCATGTCACATGACCAATCAGATCTGTCAGTAACCATGTGATCTGACCAGTCAGAGGGGTTTGTCAGTTAAACCAAACACCCTTCAACTGCATTGAATTCAGTTAACCAAACACCTTCTCCCACTCATAAGCACAGGTGCTAATGAAATGGAATGTACAATACAAGACACTGCCAGGCCTATTGTTATGACCAGCACGTGGGTTACCTACTATCTTTGTTATCTGAGTCTTTGAAGCTACAAGTAGCTTGACCTAGGTTTCAGAGAAGAAAACTTCCATCATTTCTCGGCCTCAGCCAGAGCCATTGTTTGAATTAAACAAGAAACTGCTTAAAGAGGTCAGTTTCTTCACAGACACTGTTTTGGGCTGACACCTGTCTAATTACAGAAGGTGGAAACACTAAAGTAGGCCTCAGAAGATTACCTTAACAATCAGGTAGGTTCATATGAGAGTAGGCTGGTCCCAAACCATATTGAGCTTTAAAGGTCAAAACAAGCACAGTTGGACTTGGAAACACACTGAGAGCCAGCGTAGATGGTCTAAGTGGAGAGATATGGTCCCTCTGGCCCACTCCAGTCAACAAACTGCTTGTAGTATTCTGTACCAATTAAAGTTTCCAAGCACTTCTCAAGTGCAGTCCCACATAGAGTGCAGTGTAATAATATAATCTAGAACTAACCAGGGAATGCACCACAGCAGCTGGCCAAATCTTTTTTGTCCAGAACAGGCTGCAGCTGGGCAACCAAGCAAAGATAGTAAAAGGTGTTCCTGGCCATAGCTGCTCCCTGCTTGCCCAGGAACACCCCCAAGCTATAGACCTGCTCCTTCAAGGAGTGTGCAACCCCATCCAGGAAGGTGACACCTTAAATCCTGTGTCAAGCCTATGTCAACCAATAGCCCTTGTGTCTTGTGGGGATTATGCTTCACTTTATTAGTCAAAATAGACCACAAAACTACCTCCAGTCCTGGCTCAGGGTTACTGCAGCTTTCCTGGGATCCACTGGAAGAGCGAGATAGGCATGAGTGTCATTAGTATATTGGTGACAGCTCAGCCCAAATTTCTGAATGACCTCACTCTTGGGTTTCATATAGATGTTGAAAAGCTTCGGGGGACAATATGGAGCCTTGCCAGATCACATGGATCAGTGGTCAAGAGTTTAAGCAGCTATCTCTCATAGACATCTCCTGAAACCTACCTTCCAGGTATGATTGGAACCACTGAAAAACACTACCTCAACATCCCAATTCTGAAAGTTGGTCAAGAGGCATTGAAACGGGGCTTCCAGTTCTCCCACTATGGTAGGAGGACTCCCACTGGCAGCTGTCCTTGCCCTCAACTGCTCCAAGCAGCGATGGGACTTTTTTTTTTTTTTAAGGCCAGCATTGTGTAAGCCACTACATCCCTTCCATGGAAAACCTATGATTATATAGGCTTTCCAGTCCCCCAGTAAGGGTGGGGATCCCTTACATCCACATTCCATTGCTCGTTGCTGCTTTAAGTGGCAGTTTAAAAAAATACTGATGTAGGCTGTGCAGTTATGTCACTTCCAGCCACCCTAGTCATTTGCCCTTTTTAAAAAAAACTCAGTCTCCAAAACACTCCTAGAAGATCAGAGGAATGGTATACCTGGCTTGCGCTAGTGGACCTTGACCCTATCTGACTACTTTCAAGAGCTGTGCTATCATAATAGACTCCATGTGAGGAACAAAATTTTGGATTGAGAATTGGGTATTAGAAAGGGCCAGTTCCAGGTTTTGGGAGGGCATGGGAAGAATGGCTAGGGTCACTTCTCCTAAGAACAGCAGGACAATTCCTCAATTCAAACAGCAGGCCAACTTTTCTTTTACTGTTTTCCTAACCATGGTGGTATACAGGGCAGGAACGCACAGGAATGGGGTTTCAGCTGGCTTCAGAGTTGGCCACACCCACTACAGCCAAAACCTCTGCGTGTGTGGCTACAGAGGGAAGGCCTAGAGAGTGACCTCCCCCAGCGACTCTGAGGTGGGTGGGCCAGGGGGATGGATGGATTGGGGAGGCATTTAAATGCCTCCCTGTGCCTTCCCCAGCCTGTCCAAGGGCTGGCTTCCCTGGGCGCCCCGCAGCTGCGGGGCACCCAGGCAAGCCAAGGGAAGGTACGGGGTGTGACCTAATATGCTAATGAGATATGCTGTCAGGGGTGTGGCCTAATATGCTAATAGGTTTGTGGCCTAATATGTTAATGGGTTTCTGCTGTTGGGTGTGGCCTATTATGCTAATGAGTTCCTGCTGGGCTTTTTCTACAAAAAAAGTCCTGGTGGTATATGATTGGTGCCTAGCTATTTGTAATCCCTTATAACATGAGACAGTTATGCACAAAGGAACCTGCATTCAGATGACAGTAATGTGTGAATAAAAGGTTTCTCCATTGCTACACTACATACTTTAGGCACTGATGTCTGTTGGAAATGTATGTGTTTGCAAGGTCTCGCAATCTAGTCATTATAGGGTTAAATTATTTACCTTGTATGCTGTTGTTTAGACTGACCTGGAAGGGAAACCTGGCAGACAGCCAATGTGGAAAAAGCCCACGAATCTGAGTGTGTTTACAAACAATGACTGGCTACTGGTTTCAGGAGACTTCCTTTCTAGGGGTCAAGAAGAAGCAGATACTCCATTGATTAGGAGTCTTGTCTAGCCATGCTTGTATAGAAGTAATATGTTAAAGAATGTAGCTCTTAGATGTTTGTTTCTTTGTAGGTCTTCTGTATACCCTTTACCCTTAGAAATAAAGGTTTTTAAACACAAAGAATGTCTCCTCTCCAGTGAAGCAAAATCCATTGAAACTCTGAGTAATTTAAGCATTTTGACTATTTTCCCAACGTATTCATGACCTTCTGCTCAAATGTTGCCAAATCCTTTCTTCTCTGAAGTTCCACATTTATTGAAGTTCTCCTGCTCTGATACATATTAGTTAAACACATGGGTAACTAGATATATCTCAGAGCAAGAGAGCTTTAATAACAAGAATAGATGGACCTTATTGGAGAAGTTGATTGAAGAAATGTCAACACAGTTGTAATGTGGCATAAAGTATCCCACTAATTCATGCATTTACTGCCACCTGAATGCATGCTTCTCTGTGAATAATTGTCACATATTGTAAAGGAATGCAGATAGCAACATAACAATCATGTGCCATTGCTGTTGGGGGAGGGCATAAAATTTGACCCTCAAAAAAAGAGGAAAACAAAATCCTGAGCAAATGGTCCAATATAAAAAATCCACTTGCTGTTTAAGAGAGAGTTGGCCATAGATTATGATACTATGACTAATATGAAAAAGGGGCATTAAAAGAGAACCAATAAGCAAGCATAATGTGGTGTCATCCCTGGTGGATCAAAGCATGGGACATGCCATCTTTCCCAACTGAAAGAAATTAGATATTTATTCATTTTTTAAAAAATATTTTATTTATTTATTTCAATTTCTATCCCACCTTGCCTGACAAGCAATTTTTTAAAATAAATTTACAGATATAAATACAATAAGGAGAAAGAACAAACACAGAAAAAAATACAAAAAAACACTCATGGCAAGGTATAACAGTTGCAAACATTCAAACAAATTCAGCTTTTCATGTTGGAAATCAATACATCTTAACTCCCTACGTTTGTTTACTATGAAATAGCACAAGAATATGTGTCATCCACCCTGTTTTATGCTAGTCTAGAGGAATGCAAAATGAGCAAAATACAGGGAAATAAAACTAACAATTTTGAATGGTGGTATAAGGATCTCTGACACAAACAAAATTATTGGCTAGGACTTGTGATGCAAGATGCCTTCCATTGGAGCTAGAAGACCTTAAGGGATCTGTTTCAAATAATTTTTGTTCCAAGTGGGAACCCTAACTCCAAGCATCACATTTTGAGCACTGGAAGAAAAGGAAAGCAAAAAAGTCCTCCAAGTGTCCACCACCTTCTGCTTGAGCTTTACAGAATAAAAAAAAGTACATTATATTGTGTATACCCCAAATTACAAAAACAGTAAAGAAAATCATCTAGAAATGATCATTCAACACAGTTTTCCTAGAATAATTTGACTGGAGCTGGTTTGGGGAAAATGCCCAAAATCCATGAGCTTTAACAATGCAGTCTTGATGCCTTTGTTTCTCATGCTCTAAAGATGAATGGATTCAGCAATGGAGGTAATATAGCATAGATTATTGCAAAAAGGATATCAAGATCAGAGGATGTATTAGCAGGAGGCCTTAAGTAAGCAAACATTCCAGTGAGAACAAGCAGACACACCACAGTGAGGTGGGGAAGGCAAGTGGCGAGGGCTTTTTTCCTACTGTGCACAGAAGGCATTCGGAGTAGTGTTGCAAAAATTTTCATGTAGGTAATGATGATGAAGATAAAACATCCTCCAGCTATGGTACAATTCAATATAAGAAATCCAACTTCTATTCGATATAAATCTGAACATGAGAGTTTCAGTATCTGTGGGACTTCACAAAAGAACTGATTGATCCTATTGGAGCAAAAGGTGATGACAAAAGTGCGACTGGTGTGTAATATGGCATAAAGGGTACCACTAATCCATGCACTGGCTGCCATCTGAATGCAGGCTCCTTCATGCATGATTGTCTCATATTGCAATGGACTGCAGATAGAAACATACCGATCATGTGCCATTACTGTTAGGATGGCAAAATTTGACACTGCAAGTAAGAAGTAGAAAAATACTTGAGCCACACATCCTAAATAAGAAATGGATGTAGTGTTCAGGAGGGAATTGGCCATAGCTTTAGGTACAATGGAAAAGGAAGAAATTACATCCTCTTACCTCTTCTGCTGGTGCAACTCTCCTGATTTCAGAAGAAAGAGGAACAATTACCATTTACCTCCACCTCAGTACATCCCTTTCAACAGGCATGGCTATTAGTTTGTAGTCAGTGGTTCATGACCCAGGGAATGACTGTTACCCCTACCAGCTTTGATTTAAGAAACTGAATAGCTAACTTCAAATGGTAGGCCTCAGAAAGCGTTGGGGTAATAACGAAGATTATTACCTATGTCTACTGGGATTTTCCCCTTTATGAGAGCTCTTAATAACCAGTCCAAGGGTAGAATAGAGAATAAAATAGAAACAGGATATTTAGCGAATGTAACACACAAGAAGCATACATGGAACATACACACATACACGATCTGTGGAAATAAAGAGAGCAGTGGGATATTAGCGGGGGTTGAGGTGATAGCTAACTTTCCTTGAAACATCTGTGAAGAAGGAGAGATGACAAAATGACCAGTGCTTCACTGAGAGAAAGGACTCAGTATATGGTAGTGCTTGTTAATGGGCACCTGAGATAATACAAACAATGTAGTGGAGTTTCGCAGGGCTAGTCATACCCAAAAACATGTCCAGAAGGCTTGCTAATGTGAGGGATCCCTCAGAACAAAGAATTCATGAAATTAATCAGGGGTATGATGGAAATACTCAGGGGTAAGGCAATGTAGCTTTGGGAACATGGTAACAAGTTTCCAAGATTGGATAAAAGAAGCAGGAACAAAGTACACATTAGGCTGGGTTCCTGATTAGTTCTCCAGTGGTTGGATTGCTAATTTAAACTAATCAAAATGGAAACAATACTGCTTGATGAACCACCTGGTCATGGTTCTACATCACAAATCTATAGTTCTTGGGTGAGGCAAAAATCCTCCACTTTGTCTGGAATGGTTTCTGATTGTCATGAATCCGGCCCCACGCGAGACAGCCCAAGTGTGCCTCGTGGGGGCTGCGTTTACCTCCTCGTGAGGAGGAGTAGGCGGGCAGGCTGTGGTGGAGCCTCAGCTCCAATAGGGGGAGCGGAGCCTGGCAGACTTAATAGGCTTGCTCCGCTATCCCCCCCGGCCAGTAGCTCGCCTTGTGCTCGGCCCACCCACCCGCCCTGTATGTAGTGTAAACATAGGCTGGTTGCCTTGTTTAATGGGGAGCCGGGTAGGAATTTTTTGGTTCCATTCTCGCATTGGCTATTGAGATGGGGTCTTTTTCGCCTACCCTGCACTGCGGTCAGTGGATTGAAGAATTGGTCTGGGATGGACCTAGGGGCTCGTTCGTCACTTTGTTAGGGCAGAATTAGGTTAAAAAACAGTTCAGCCGCCATCAAGCACCAATTAATAACCCCGGGTGTGGGTAGAGGGGTCTGCTCGACCAACCTTGTAGCCGTGCAGCCTGGGTGAGGCTTGCAGACCGCCTATGGGGATGGTCACGGTTCGACGGAGACTCAGCGCTGGCCATGTGGTGGTGTTTGAGGGCTCCTGAGGGCGCATCCCAATCTTGGCTCGGCCAGGATTGTAAGCGACTTATGGTTGGCTCCAACCCAGGGGGCCGCGGTGTCTTGCCTTCCTATGGTTTGAGGATGGGAGTCAAAGTGACGCCAGGCCCGGCCGTGCTGCTGTTTTCATGGTTGCCCTTTGCCGTTAAGTTAAAAAGTTAATAATTTAATAAAGTGGCCTTATTTCATCCAACCTTGTTGTCTATTTCTTCCGTCTGGGGGGGGGCAAGGGCTACATCTCTCTAAAGCACTTCAAAATGGCTCTCTGGAAAATAAACTCATGGGGTAGAAAAACTACACTAACATAAGCATCCTGGGTTATTTTCTACCTCAGGGTTATTTGTTTGTTTCTTTGGTTGGTTGGTTGGTTGGTTGGTTGGAAGGTTGGAAGGTTGGTTGGTTGGTTTTTTAAATAGACAGTAATTTGCGAGTGATGTGGCTATACTGTAGGGACATTGTTTACTACTGTACAGGTGACAATGTCCAAAGAGGGAAAGGTTCTAGAGGATACTTATCTTTCCTTTATGCCAAACAAGTACACCTGGGATAGCAACTAAAACACCACAGTGTTTCTAGGGTTCAACCCTTGTACCACCTTAAAAAAAAAGAAAATATATTGCACCTTGCATGGGGCATATTTGTAATTCAAGCCAAATTCCCTTTACATCTAGTGGTAAAAAAGTGTACCATCATTTTTGTTTCCTTGTTACACGAGAAGTCACCATGTTTCACAATACTAAGACACCCAGAATGTGAAAACATACTATGGCATGAGGCAGACTGGAGGGGTTTTTTTTGTTTTTTGGTTGTTGTTGTTGTTGTTGTTGTTCTTTTGTAGATTCACCATGATTACTTTGTGAAGGAATATGTTTTTGGTTAACTTGAAACAACAAAAACTCGTTTATTTTCAACTTGAGATATTAGACCTCTGGTGTAAACTTTTATGAATTTTAGCACGGAACAAAAAGGATGACCTGATTGAACTTGTCACTAGTTTTGACAGTGAAGCTCAGAAATCGCTGTGATAGAGAACATGGAACTAACTCTCCAAATAGTGGCATGCCGCTTTAGGTACCTCCTGTAAATTTATATGATTTCTGTAGCTGGGGTTTGATACAGCCCTGTGCGTACACCATTAAAAAGTATTAGAGACATTTATTGAGAAACTCTTTATTTTACCAGTAATAGAATAGGATTGATAAGTTGTGTTTAGTACACTTCTGTCCCACCCTTGCTCAGGTTGTGCACATTGTTTCCCCCTTTTTCACTTTTTTCCTTCAAAGGCCTGTGAGGTAGGATATGCTAGGAGAGAGTGACAGGCCCAAGGTCATCCAGTGCACTTTGTGGAAGAGTAGGAATTTGAACTTGGGCCTCCCAGATCCTAGGCTGAAACCATTGCCTCTGCATGCCAATGGATAATGGATCATAGATTACAGATTCATATCTGCTTGAAATATATCCCTTCCTGAATGTGAGGTAGGATTTAATCAGCATGAAATACAATAGGTTCAGATGAACACTCTAAGTTTCATTTTCTGTTTTAATTTTTTTTAATTGCACATGGATTTGTGATTTTTCCCAATACGTGACCTGTGTCCTCTTTTGTGCTGTCTTCAAAGATTGCATGCAGGAAACCAAAGGAAATATGAAATAACAATTTTAAATGTGCTAGAAGGATGAGATAACTATCTGTGCCTTAAAGGGAATTATTAGGTTGGACCTATGACTTCTTTTTACCAGCACAAAAAGCTTTCAGAGAAAAGGCGAAACCCCAACAGCACCAGAGGTAGGAGGGATATTCTGGAAGTCTTCCTCCTCCTCAATGCAGTTACCTGTTTGGGTTGCATCCCACTTCTCTAAGAAAGCCCCAACATTTCCAGCTCTCACAGGGAAGAAAGGGAAACCCAAAACTTCTACTTCTATTCAAGGTCTGCATCAGATGTGAGGCATCTCCAAGGGCCCTGGGCTTCTGGAAGAGCTCATCGCCACCAGACCCTGCCCACACACCTCCTCTGCCACCCTCCTGAGGGCCCGTCCTTTGACTGCTTGCTTGCAAGAACTTTGATGCTCTCTGATACATGGGCTGCACACTATTCCCAGGAAAGAGTTTGCAGATAGTGTCAATCCAAGCCACACACACCTCATAGTGGCATTGAGGAAAAGGCCATGCTGTGGGAGTAGTCTGGAGCAGGTAGGCAATTGATGCATGGGCAGGTGGGGGATATGTTGGAAGGGGCAGAGGTCAATGGTGATGGACATAGGAGGAGAGGGGGCCCTTGAACACTCTTCGCCCAAGTCCCAACTGGCCCTCACCTCTGTCAGCAGCTTCCGAAGTGATTCAAAAAAGTCAACATAATATTTCTAGTATACGATATCTGCGGTTAAATTCTGGACAAAATTACTCGACTCTACTTCTGTAGAAAAGCTTTGCTGGCAATTATTTTTTAAAAACGGCCGAAATCAGAGAGCTTCAACAACGCAGTCTTGATTTCTTTGTTTCTTATGCTATAGATGAATGGATTGAGCAAGGGAGGGAGAACAGCATAAATTATTGCAAAAAGAACATTCTGGTCAGATGAAGTATGACTGGGAGGCCTCAAGTAGGCAAAGTAGCCAGTACATACAAGCAAAGACACCACAGTGAGGTGGGGAAGACAAGTGGAGAGGGCCTTTTTCTGACCACGAATGGAAGGGATTCTGAGCACTGCTACAAAAATCTGCTTGTAGGACATAATGATGAAGATGAAGCATCCTAGACCAAGGAAACAGCCAAACACAATAATGCCAACTTCGATTAGATACATGTCAGAACAGGAGAGTCTTAGAATCTGTGGAACTTCACAGAAGAACTGATTGATCACGTTGGAGCAGAAGGTGATGGCAAAAGTTCCTCCACTGTGTAATATACCATTGAGTATACCTGCAATCCATGCACTGACTGCCATCTGAATGCAGGCACCTCTGTGCATGATTGTCTCGTATTGCAATGGATTGCAGATAGCAACATATCGATCATGTGCCATAATTGTTAAGATGGCAAAATCTGACCCTCCAAGTAAGAAGTAGAAAAATACTTGAGCCACACATGCAGAATAAGAAATGGACCTGGTATTCAGGAGGGAATTGGCCATCGCTTTGGGTACCATGACGGAAACCAAGCCAAGATCCAGAAGCGCCAGGTTCATGAGAAAAAAGTACATGGGGGTGTGCAGGTGATGATCAAGGGCTACAGCAATGATGATGAGAAGATTGCCAGTCACTGCAGTCAGGTATACTGCTAAGAAGACAAAGAAATGTAAGATCTGTAGTTCTCGGATGTCTGAAAATTCCAGGAGTAGAAATTCAGATGTGGAGGTAAGGTTGGGCATTGTGTCCTCAATATCCAGCTGTAATCTGTCTGTAGGACACGTTAGAGAAACCATTTTATTCCAGTAATGCCAATTAACAGTTAGTCTGGCTTCCTTGTTTCACCAT